CACCTTAACCAGAAACACACAAAGTAGAATTTTTGTCCTTAACTTTCTTCCAAGTCTTTGTATCATAAGTAATTATAAACTACAGTCACCCAAGTGTACTGTGAAGCACTAGAACTTATTCCTGCTATTTAGTCTTGATACCCATTATCCAACCTCTTTTTATCCACTTTCCCCACCACTATACTTCCCAACTTCTAGTAATCCTTATTCTATATTGAGACCATATTTTTTTAACCTCCACATATGAAAGAAAACATACAATAGTATCTTTGCGTCTGGCTTATTTCACGTAACATAATGTCCTCCGGTTTCATCTACTTTGCTGTGAATCACAGAGTTTAATTCTTCTTTATGCACCACATTGTATATACACCACATTTTCTTTATCCATCACTCACTGATGAACACCAAGGTTGATTTCATGTCTTAGCTGTGGTGAATGGTGTGCTACAGTAAAAATGGGAGTACAAGTATCTCTTTGGTATGCTAATCTCCTTTTCTTTGAATATGAACTATTGATTGACCATTTGTATTTCTTATTGTGATAAGCATCTCCTCAGATTATTTGCCCATTTTAAAAAATTGGATTACTTGTTCTTTGTTGCCAAGCTTTTGAGTTCTTTATTTATTCTAGATATTAATCCTTGTAAGATAAATTGCTATGAAATGTTTTCTCCCATTTTGTCTATTTACTTTGCTGTATAGAAGCCTCTTAGTTCAATATAATCCAATTTGTCTATTTTTGCTTTTATTCTCTGTGCTTTTAGGGTCATCTCTAAAAAATCATTGCCTATACTGATGTCTTGAAATATTTCCTCTATGTCTTCTTACAGTGACTTCATAGTTTCAGGCCTTACATTTTTGTTTTTGTACAGAGTGAGAAATAAGAGTTACGTTTCAATATTCTACATATGGACATCCAGTTTTCCTAGCATGATTTATTGAAAAGTCCTTTTCAATGTACGATTTTGATGCCTTTGTTGAAATCATTTGACTGTAGATGCCTAAATTTATTTCTGGAACTGCTCTTCTGTTTCTTCGGTATATATGTTTATTTTTACACCAGTACTAGGTTGTTTTAGTTACTATGATTCTATAGTATGTCTTGAAATAACATATTGTGATGCCTCCAGCTTTGTTCTTTTTTATTCAAAATTGCTTTAGCTAGCAGGGTCTTTTGCACTTCCATATGAATTTTACATTGTTTTTCTAGTTCTTTGAAGAATATCACTAGTGGTTTTCCATGTTTGCATTGAATCTATAAATTGCTTTAGGTAGTATAGACATTTTAATAATATTAATTCTACCTCATAAACAGAAATTTTTGTGTCTTCTTTAATTTTTTCATCAGCATTTTATAATTTTCATTGCAGAGATTTTTATTTTCGTGATTAAATTTATTCCTGGGTTGGTATATTGGTTTGTTTGCTTGTTTATTGTGCTACTAGAGATTGCACCCAGTGCCTCATGAATGCTAGGCGAGAACTCCTTCTCTGAACTAGCTCCTTCTCAGCTCCCTTTTCTCCTCCTCCTTTTTTGTAGCTATTGTGAATGGGATTGCTTTCATGGTTTGTTTCTCATCAAGTTGATGTTTGTGTTTATTTATTTTGTACTACTTGAGAGTAAACCCAGGGCCTTTGTACTGAGCTATATCACTGGCCCTTTTATAATTTTTATTTTGAAACAGCCTAGGCCTCCCAGACTACTGGGATTACTATCATGTACTGCCATACCTGGCTTTCAGTAAGTTTGTTATTAATGAACAAAAGTATTGCTAAGTTTTATATATTAATCTTTTCATTCTGCAACTCTACTGAATTCCTCTATAAACTCTAACAATCTTTTGGTGGATCTTTAGGTTTTTCTGTACATAGAATCATATCATATGCAAACAGATAATTTGACTTTTCCTTTTTCATTTGTCTGCCTTTTATTTCTTTCTCTCACTCACTTTCTCTGGCTGAGACTTCTAGTGATATACTGAATAAGGGTGGTGAGAATGGACACCTTTCTCTTGTTCCTTTTGTTAGAGGAAATCATTTCGGCTTTTCCTCATTTAGTGTGATATTGGCTGTGAGTTTGTCATATCTAGCCCTAATTATATTGAGATAACATTCTCTTATACTTAATTTGTTTACAGCTTTCATCATTTAGGGATGTTGAATTTTATCAAGTGCTTCTTCTATATCTATTGAAATGATCATATGATTTTTTATCCTTCATTATGTTGATTTTATGTATTAATTTTGTTGATTTTCATGTGTTGAACCAAACTTGCATCCTTGGAATAAATCTAACTTTATCATAATGAATGATTTTTCATTTACTGTTGAATTCTATTTGCTAGTACTTTGTTAGAACTTTTATGTATATGTTCATCAGGGATGTTGGTGTGTAGTTGTTGTGTGTGTGTGTATGTGTATGTGTGTGTGTCACTGTCTGGTTTTGGCATTGGGATAATGCTATCTTTATATAGCTTTTAACCTCATACTGTGTGCCAGACTCTGGTATGTGTTTTACTTCCATATTCCAATTAACCCTCCGCAAGAAACTCTAGGTAGGTTTTTTAAATCTTCACAAACAGATGAGAAAACTGAGGCTGAGAATTGTTAAAACCTCCACACAAGTCACTCAGCTGATATTGCCAGATCTTGAATTTCTGATTTTTCATATCCTTTTTTATTAGTTTCCCTTCAGGCCAACTGCTTTCTGTTTTGTCTTCCTTTTGGTACCAGGGATCAAACTCGGGACCTTGCACTAGGAAAGCAGGCACAGTGCCACTAGCAAAATCCCCGGCCCAGGCCAACTGCTTTCTGAAAACATTAGTTTCCTAGAAAGACTTCTTGAGGTCTTAAGGCTGTGTTACTTTCTTGAGGCTCTCTCTTTCTTGTGGGGAAGCTACTGTCTTCTATAGGGTAAGGATCCTTTTTTTTAGCATGTACTTCAGAAAATAGCACTCATCTCCAGTTTAGTAATTCACATTTTTTAGGTACTTGTGGCTCTCTATCCTCTGAATATAGGACAATTTTCTTGTATCCATTAACAGCAAACTGTTACCCTTAAAATAAAAAATCTGTCTTATAATTTTTTCTTTCCCTTTTTTCCTTAAATGGAAACAAAGTCTTTGTAAATAGGGATGGGTGGAGGGGGTGAAGGGAGCACAGGGAATGGGGAAAAAATAAGAACCAAGATACATCATGTACAGGTACAAGTACCCAATGATAAATCTAAACATACTGCATACCTAAAATGTACCAGTAAAAGAATTTAAGCAAAAAAAAAATCAAAACTCTGTCTCTGGCATGAGTTTAGAGGCAAGCCCTAAAGATGATTAAATGTTAGAAAATCTAATGTACAAAGAAAAGTGAAAGATAGCAGCACACTTTATCTTACAAAGGCAAGAAACCAGGCTTTCCTGAACAAGTAATGAAACAAGAAAAAAAATGAAACTGTGCTGCAATATAAAGAATTAAGAAAAATGTCTGACACTCTTGCTAAATGTGGATATCAGTTAAATTAGGGTGCTGTCAACTCTCCTCCTTTTGGAGACTTAAGACACATGCTTTAGACATATCTATTGCGAACAGTTTGGTGCAGTCCTAGATGTATCCTTGCCCAAGGGCTGACAGATGGATCAAATGACCTCTCAGCATCCATTACAGTCCCAATTTCTGTTTCTCTATGGTCATGGACTGGCTTGTTAGCTGAGTCAGATTTGCCCTTGCAAATTAGTGAAGGAGTCAGCTGCCTGAAAGAAAACAGATAAACTCTTATCCCAGAAATAAAACTCTGACTATCCTCTCCCAGATGAAACTATACCATGAAACATTTACTTTCTTGATCAAAAAAAGTATTTCTGGTCTTCAGCACTTCCCTACAGTGATACCTAAGAGAAGGTAAAGTAACAGACTTTATCAGATAAGGGCTTAGCAAACATCAAGGCCCTGCAGCAGGACCAAGAACCAAAGCAGGAAGAGAGATAGGGCCATAGGAATCAACTGTGCCTAACTGGACATGGTCTCTTAGCTCCTGCAGAAGATAAAGTGCTCCTTTCTCTCTGCTAAGTTCTTTTACACTCGATGGCAGAGCTTCTACCAGGAACAAACACTGACCAAGGCACTAGGAACACTAAAGTATGGCAAACAAACATGTCTCCTACTTTTCTACAAAATACTAAAAACATAGTGGATGTGTAGCAAACAACTACAAGGAAGAGGTCAACACTTAAGCACCAAATACTCGCTGAGTTGCTGATATTGTTTTTGGTTGTAACCAAATGCACAAATCCTTGGCCCTCATAGAGCTTGCATTCTGGTAAAAGAAAGGTAAGTAATAAAGAAATTGCAGGCATACTAGAAACTGTGGCAAGCAGACACACCCTACCTGCCAAAGCCTACCTGAGAAGAGAGGTTCTTACTGGCATGTGAAGACTGAATAGAAATTGTAGAAAGGTATGAGTTAATGGAGGAGAAGCTACCTGGAAAATGTTCCATTTAAAGTTGCCAAACATTGAACTGGTGATGGAGAGCATTGATAAAGCACTAGCCTAGCATATACAAGGACCTAGTTTTAATCCCCAGAACTGGAAAAAAAAAAAAAGACCAGTGCTATCAATTTTCCTGTGTGATAGGATGAAGAATAATTTATATCTTTCTCTTTCTGACAGTTATTCAAATATTTGTACAATAAATAACTTTAAAATGATATCAAAGTTATAATTAACACTACTTTACCTCGTTTTTACCATGTGGTTTTTAATGTATTGGTCTTCAAACTATCACTTGTGAATTAAGATCAAATTGTATGAGGGTATAATAAAATTTCAAGCTCAAATTCAAGATCAATTAGAAGTCTTACCCTCACATTGTAAACATTGAGTCTAATCCCACAAAAGTGTTTGGTGTTATTGTACTCAAATAAGATGATATGTGTGATGTTATGGCATGGATTTTCCCCCACCTACATTGAATGTGAATTACAGGTTTGTTCCTGTACTACAGGTGGACCTGTGGCAGCCCAGCAGTATCATCTATGTGTCAGAGGGGACAGTTACTGATGTCCATATTCCCCAAAATGCTTCCCAGGCTCTGTTAGCCTTCTTCCAGGAAGCCAACATCAAATACAAGTAAGCATTCCTTTTCACTTGCTACAAAATTTATTTGTACTAAATTGAACTGAATGACCATTACATTCAGATTATATATGTGCTTATGACAGAGTTTTCATTTTTAATTTTGAGAAAACTACACAAATATAGTCACCTTTGAAGAGCTTATTAGTCCAATGTGGGCTAGGAGCAGCAACATAAACATACCATTTCACTGTTGCCATTACAGGATCAGTGTCAACACATACTGCTTTCTGTGTGAAGAAGGGAGAGCAGCCTGGCAATGCCTAGTGGGTGATGGGAAGGCAGGGAAGGAAAAGGCTTTCTGCAGGAGCCATATCAGCCAGGATAAGGATGAGACTCAGAATCTGCAGGCAAAGGTGACAATGCAAGCAAAGGAAGAAGCAGCAGAGTGGTGGTGCAGTGTTACCGTGTACAAATGCAAGTTAGATTGGAGAAGAAAAGATACTGGAGAGGGAAGGGGAGGAAAACTGGTAGAAAGTCTTCTGAGCAAGAGAAGCAGCCCAGACCTTATCTTGTGAGTAGTGCTGCCTCTGTGGACAATATAAGCAGAAGACAGAGAAGTGAGTAGAAGGTCAGACCTGAGAGCAGACTACAACTCTTAGCTATTAGAATAAGGAGAGAGACAGAGAATAAGTACCACAAAATGATGTAGCATCAAGGACTGGGTCTTAGTTACTTTTCTTATCACTAGGACACAACAGCCAATACACACAAAAAAGAAAAAGAGGTTTATTTTGGCTCACAGTTTGTACAGATTTCAGTCCATACTTTGCTCTGGCTCCAAAGTAGGATAGCATAGCAGAGGGGCATAGCGGAGGAAAGCTGCTCATCTTAAGGCATCCAGAAAGCAGAGAAAGCATCAGTGGAGGAACTGGGTTGGGAGATATAACCTTGGGCATCACAAAATATGTCTTCATCACTTTCCTTATCCCTGGGACAGTCTACTTGGAAGACTTAGGATTTGTGCCAGTAGGGAAAAATTGTGCCATGTCTTGAGGGAGACAATGCACAGGTGGAGGGGTGAGTTTGAACAGTAGGAACACCTCATCCTCTAAGACTGAAGAAGTAAATGTGTGTCCACTTAAGATTGTAAAGAGGAAAATGCACAGCTTGAAAGTGATAGCTGGTGATTTTCTCATTGGGGTAAGTAAGAATATCTGCCAAAAGTGAAAAAAAAAAACACCAGGTTTTGAAAAGTGGTGCCAAGAAAAAAACCAAGGTGAGAACCAATAAAACTAGTTGCTTCTGAGAAGAAAGAAGATAGCACTGATATAGAGTTGAGAATGTGTTGAATAGAAATATAGAATGATCAGATAAGTGAGAAAGTTGAAGCCCCAGGTACTCATGAAGTATGCATCTGTGGATCTCATTCAGATAAAGAGGGAAGAGCCCAGCCTGGGATTTAGTAAGTCTTGTCTCAAAAAGAATTTTTAGAAAAATTTTTAAATGCTGTGGATGTAGCTCAGCATGAAGATCTTGGGTGGCTCAAACATCACTACTGAAGAAAGAAGAAAGAATGGTGTGGAGGGAGGAATGGAGGGAGGGAGAGGAGAAAGGAGGGAAGAAAAGAAAAGGAAAAGGGAAAAAAGAAGGTCTAAATTACTAGGGAATGACCAGTACAGTCTTGAATCTCCTCTGTTAGTGACAAACGTAGAGGTAAAGAGTGTAGCCAAGAGTTAGAGAAAAGTAACAAGAGTTGTGTGACACTGAAGAAAGGATGACCTTTCCCAAAGTTAGAAGATCAGTGCAGAAGCAGAAATAAGGGTCCAGGAGACCAATGACCTCCCTCCCTTCGGGCCCATATTAGATAGGAAGAGAGTGTGGAGGTAGATGTTCACAAAAGAAAATGTGTCCATAAGAGTCAAATTTCCAGTTAGGCAAGAATATGAAAAGGAAGAGTTCTCTGAAAAGAGGAGGACATAGGAAGTTTGTTAACAATGGAAAAGGGCTTCCAGTGGCGACAGGGGAAAGGGATGGTGGAGAGAAGGAGGTTGGTGGAACATCCGGGAAGAAAAACAGTAGTGTGATGAATTAATGAAACAAAGAGTAATGGCTTTGAGAGAAGCTCAGCCGGTCCCAGCACCTGGAAGGAAGCTCCCCAGTTGCCATCCCAGGCTCCTAGGGCAGAGAAGGTGAGCCACGTGGGCACCAGAAGCACACCCTGCCCCCCCGTGGAAATGAGAAAACACATAAACAAGCCTCAAAAACAGACTTCCAGATCACCTACAGCAACCCCAAAGGGAAACGAGATGGAAAAATCTGTTACTCAACCACCTGGACTCTCTGAACTGGCAACAAAAGAGGATCTGGGAAAAATGAAATCAGAAATAATTACTCA